TCTCTCACTTAAGTCCAATAATTCCAAAACATTCAAAGTTAAGTCAAAAGGAGGGAGGGCACAAGAGTAAGAAAACAGAGAAATACAACAACCTTTACAGTTCTACAAATGAATTATGGGGGTGGATACTGACACATGGAACAATGAGAATGAGGACATCTGGGACATTTTTATGAATTAAAATCTAAAATGACTGGATTAAGAACATTTGAGACATAATATAACCTTGTATAACCCAAATATGTTAAAAACTTACGATTTGAAAGTGTATTTCAAAATATCTGCTTTAGACCATAGACAAGGAAGATTCTCAGGAAAGAGGCAAAGAAGCTACATTTGTCGAGTAGTATCAAGACCTAATTAAGAGTATTGGATAAGAGGGTTCCTCAAAATATCCACTCAGTGACCCAGTAAGAATTATAGCCTCCTCTTCCTTTTACTATGTGTTCACTGCAGTTATCTTGTCTCTGTCTCATCATTATGTGTTGAGGCATGTAGCAGATATCGCACCTTTAAATGAGGAATAACCACATCTGGATTTGATTTAGAGACTACCACATATCACTCAGAAATTGTGGACAATGAGTTTGATGCTGTGATTGGATGGATATTTAAAGTTTGTTTCCCTTGAGGAAAGAGTAAGGAAATTTTTCTTGTGGGGAGAGAGTAAGCCAAACATTTGATGAATAGAAAAGGAGACTGTTAGAGTCATTACTGTTGTTCCTAAAATATGTTTGGCTCTCTCCTTTCAAAACACTTGCCAGGGTTAAAGAGACTTGAAATTAGGCATGGTCATGTGTCTTGCCTTGACCTGTGACATATGAGCAGAAGTGAGATATATATGGCTTTTCTAAGTGCATGCACTGAAAGTCAATATATAAACTGCCATGTTCTCTTGCCTTACCTAGATAATTGTGGAATAATATATATTAAATTGAGGCCTCTTCCATTTTGATTCTTCAGGTGACTACAGTGAACAGAACTCTCTTGTAGGCCTACCTAGGAAAAGCAGCATGAGCAAAAATGCAATGTTTGCTATAAATAAATGAAAGCCAGGGATGTTGAGGTTGCTTATGCCCTTTTCCTTTGAAAAAAAAAAAAAAAGAAGTATAAACTTAGCCTTTCTTGGTTTGGTTTGATATTGAACGTGAGGAATGAGACTGAATAACAGATCAGAAGCCTGATTATGAAGGCTCCTTCTACCACTAAACAAGGGAGTCTGAACTTTCTCCTTTCATAAAATCCCAAAAGCCAAATGCTCTACCATGAGTCTATTCCAGTTCATAGGCTCCCTGAAGGGACAGTAAAACTGTCCTGTTGTGTTTCCAAGGTGATAATCTTAATGTAAACAGACTCCACCCTTTCCCTTAAAAAGCAACTGTTGTGTTCGAACCACTGGCCTTTCAGTTAGAAGGAAAGCACTCAACCACTGTGTCCACTTCTCCTGTAGTAGGTAGAAGCCAAGGAAGACTTCAAAGTGTTACCAAGAACAGATTTGTTATTTTAGAGGATGAAATATGCTATTTCTCAACATAAGGAGAAAAACCAGCTCACCAAATCACATACTGCAAAGAAGAACACACAGAACTCTTAGGAAAAAGAGAGATATTTATTCAAAGTCCTAGGTTTTTAATGTGTCCAAATACAGGAGCTCTGAACAGAGTTATAAACAGAGGATCTGGCAAGACAATTTTCCCTCTCCCACAAGCTCCATTTCCTCTGCAGACAACTAACATTTCACAAGAAAGTTGATCAGAGCTAAAAAGATACAATAAGAGAATGGAATATAGACCTGAGGTCAAGTTCCAGCAGTCTGTGAGACCAGAACAAGATACTTGAACTCTCTGGGCCTATTTTCTCATATGTTAAATAGAGATGATAAGAGTATTTGCTTCTCAAGATGATGATGGGGAGGAAATATCAATATTTATATTGCTTAGGATAATGTCTGAAAAATTATATTTCATATATGGAAATTATTCTAATAATTGTGCTATTAAAAATTACTAAGAATATTCACTCCCTGACAAAATAAGTCAGGGCAAATAAGATAGAGGAGAATGGATTTTGTCATCATTATGTCCCTACCCTTCCTGCCTGCTCAAATTTTGTCCTAGATCAATGCTAGACTCATAATAACCATTCTGTTAATCCTCTTCTGTGTGAATGCCCCAAAAGGGGGAAAAGTTGACAGATCTCCGACAGACCCCAGCTACTGTTGTGCTGAGGATTCTGTACTCTCCAGGTGGAGAAAACCTTAAGGCTGGAAGCTATGAACCTAAGACTGAGTTTGTCCCAAGTACAGAGGCAGAAAATCAAGACTAAGAACCTAAGAATTTAAATGGCTGCAGGTCCAACTTCAAACCGTTGACTTCTAACTCAATCTTCCTTCACTTCCTCACTCACTTCCTTCTTATAGTGAAGAATATATCTGGTTCTACCAAAACACATTCTTACATCCTGGTATTTACACACACACACACACACACACACACAACCTGCGACAGCCCTTTACAAGGCTTTGGGGGCTGTTTAGCCACCACCTCCTTAGCCTTGGATGCATGATGCTACACTAGTTTGTTTTGGGATTTTTTCTGTATAAACTTTTTTTCAAATAAAAGTTTTATTTTATACTGGTTTACTTACAAAGTTCCTATACATTGTTTTCACCCGGGATCTTTCCCATTACACTAATTCTTGGCAATCCAATGAGGTGGATCTCACCAGCCAACATGCAGATGAGAGAATTTAAGTACAGAGTAGTGATTGCTCATTTCACACTCTAGCATTACGGGGTTATACCATTAACAACTTCAGTATTTTTTCCACCATACATTTTGTCCCTGAAGGAGAGAGAACAGAGGAGGCGGGGAGGAGAAAATAACAACCACGGAAAAGAACCACTTATATGTGTCTAGCGCTTCCTAGAGGCTGCTCAAGTTATGAGCCCACCACCGGGCCAGACGCCAAGGAATTTTTAAGTCCTGATTCTACTTCAGAATCGCTGCGTGACTTGTCCAGTTACGCGGCTGTTGGCACTTGTTTTCTCTGAAGCAAATCAGCCTGGAACTTGTGTGTGTGTGTGTGTGTGTGTGTGTGTGTGTGTGTG